GGCCAGTTCGATACGGATGAAGAACCACGCGGTTCGTGCAGTCTGCCAGGGAGACCATGAACAGTTTAGGAACCCCACATTTAGACAAGGATGCTCGAGGCTGAAGGAGTGTCATGTTGCCATGGAGGTACCCTTGAATTCTTAACGTGGGGCCACAGTCGTGGCACTCAACACATCCTCTAGCCCGACGATCCCTCGTCAGCTCCTGGGTTCAAGCCTGGCATGGAGCAACTTCGCCCCGCCTTCTCCGTCTAGTACCCTGGATGTTGTTCGCTTGAAACTTTCGCCGTCAGCCTGCATGGATCGTCCCCACCCAAGTGCCCGCAACATCTCAAGCACAGGCCCAACAAGCCAATGAAGGCCAGCCCAAATGTGCGGCCAGGGCACCATGAAGAATTGGCTGGTAGTCTTTGCCATAGGCTTGAACACCTCATGATCAGTCTCAAGTTGGGTGCCCCTGCTCGTGGCAACGTGCCAAAGCTGAAGCGTCTGGACCTGTGAGGAATGGTCTCGACCAATTAACAGGGAGGATTTGAACATGTGCTTTTCACAAACTGGCCGCAACACTGCCAAGGGCATGCTACATCTCAAGCCCCACCCTCGGACGCAAGAAAACCAACATGAACACAGAAGTAGTCAACAAAACATTTACCCATACCTAAAAGCATGCACACGTTGTGTTGCGTTGCATGCATGGGCACATGCGTGCGTGCGTGCGTGCGCGTGTTTGAGAGTGTGTGTGTGTGTGTCTGTGTGTGTGTGTGTGTGTGTGCGTGCAGGCGTTTGTGTCTGCATGTGCGCATGCGTGCGTGCGTGTCTGTTTCTAGGCGCGTGTGTAGGTGTGTAGGTGTGTAGGTATATTTGTGCGCGTACTTGCGCCCGTACAATTGTTTGCAATTGTGCATAATGCGTGTCCGTGTGTATGCGTGCAACACGCTGTGGCGTAATGCAACGCAGTGCAGTGTATTGCCGTGTCGTGTAATGTAACGTCTGTGGTTGCAGTGCACATGCATACATACATGTGCACTCACACACATGCATACACAAACTCTGTCGAATGTCCGAAGCATCCTTCAACATGCATTAAATGTCGAATTGTGTATGTATGTACGTATACACCTACCCATGCATGTGAGTGCAGACATGCATGCTTGCAGGTATGAACGTCCTGGAATACATTGTCCTGTCATGCAACGGAACACACTTTCATGCACGGTAAAGTGAGGTACTGAATGAGTGTGCAGAGGTATGCGATGCATGTACGTATGTATGTATGCATGTATGTATATACTTGTGCCTGTCTGATGACTGGTATGTGTAGAGGTGTGCGCATACGTATGTAATAATGTATATGTGTAATGTCCTGCCAGTTAGACATGCATGTATGTATGTCTGTATGCATGTCGATAATGCAAGTCTATATGTTTTACATTGTATTGTATGGTCTTGTACTGTAATGTATTGTAAGCATGCAATGCATGTGTGTATGCCTGTCTGCTTGCATGTATGCATGCGTGCATGGTTGTACGTATGTCATGTACGGTGAAGCAAGGCAATGTGATGTAAAGTAACGCAAAGCATCATTCCATGCACTACACACAGGCCGTACATTACATAGCCTGCAAGCATGACAACAAAGACACACAGTACATATCCAACATTGTAACATGCATGACACACACAATAAAATAAGTGCTTACATAACACACCATCATCACATTACATGACAAAACACTACGTTACACTACACCTGCTCTACATTACATGCATTGCATTTGATTGCGTTAGGTTGTATTACATTGCACTACGCCACATAAGCTATACCTTGCATGCTTGCGTAACCTGACCTCCAGTTAAGACATAATTGCAAACGGGCATGCACACATACATGAATAACAAACATACTTGCACTACAGTACATTGCATTACGATAGATTACACTTTACATACATGACGAATCAGAAGAAGCTGCACGAAAGGATGGAGGGGTCCACAGCTCCAGAAACCACCTTGGAGCCTGCTCCTTACAAGATTCTGGATTAGGAGCAGCTACAGGCGCTGCTGTTAAATGGCAAATAAAGAGAGAAACCTGAACTTTGGAAAGGACAAACACGGGTTCATCGCATGGGAAGCTCATACCAAACTTAACAACCATTGCATACACAGTACATCACAGCATTGCAATATATCACATGGACTAGCATACATGCATACATGCATGCGTGGATTGCATTACATAGATGCATGAATGAGGTGTCAATTCTCTTTATCATGTCAGCCCCAGAAGAGTTTTCATGAAGAAGAAATATAGAAAGCGAGAACTAGATAGAGAAAGGAACACACATTTTCGCAATGTCTGACATGTAATTCTTGAAGGAGTTTCTCGTTCATGTCTTTCATATCCTCAAGAATCTTGGGCATGAACTCGTGTAAATAATAATTCTAGAAATGTAGGGTATCGAAAGGTTGATATATAAATGGAATCAGATTATTCAAAGTAAAAAGGCAAGATACCCATTTACATTACATTACATTGCATCGCATCGCGCTGCATTACATATATACATGCAAGTACACTACACACTCATGCATATTGTACACAAATGCACCATGCATTGCGTTCGTGGCATTCATGGCGTTACAATACAGTGTGATACAATACGGGATGTTTCTGTACATCGCTTACATAGGCGCATGCATTGCATCACATAGCAAAACACACACGGACATCATGGCATGCATACATACACACCTGCATAATGTTAGAACTTGATTAATAAAGGCCCCCCCCCCCCCCCTGAACAATGGAGGCGCCAAAACAATGGGGGTGCACTTTTGGGACGTCCAAACAATGGAGGGTTTTGGGGCCCAATTCTACTTTAGTATTGCAGCCACTTCCTTTTTGCAGTTCTACTTTAGTATTGCAGCCACTTCCTTTTTGCAATTCTACTTTAGTATTGCAGCCACTTCCTTTAGTATTGCAGCCACTTCTTTTTGCAATTCTACTTTAGTATTGCAGCCACTTCCTTTTTGCAATTCTACTTTAGTATTGCAGCCACTTCCTTTAGTATTGCAGCCACTTCTTTTTTGCAATTCTACTTTAGTATTGCAGCCACTTCCTTTTTGCAATTCTACTTTAGTATTGCAGCCACTTCCTTTAGTATTGCAGCCACTTCTTTTTTGCAATTCTACTTTAGTATTGCAGCCACTTCCTTTTTGCAATTCTACTTTAGTATTGCAACCACTTCTTGTCAACTGGGGGTTTGGCTTTGGGTTCTGTGGTTGAGCAACCAATTGAAAGGGGAGTGCTTTTAAGCAAGTGTGCCACCAATTGAAAGGGGATGCTTTTAAGCAAGTGGGCCACCAATTGGAAGGGGAATGCTTTTGAGCAAAGCAAGTGATAGTTTATTTTCTGGGAGGGGGGGCTGGGGGCTTGCCACTATTGTGGTCCCCTAAAACAATCACATTATTGTGGTTCTGTGGGGTCTGTGAGGGGTACCCTTGTCCTGATTGCTTTTTTGCATTTTTTTTTAGCACGGTTTAATAAAGAGTTTGCAGTTTCAGGGCTGGGGATGGTTTTCAAATTTCAGAGTTTCAGCTGGCTTTGGGTTCTGTGGTTGAGCAACCAATTGAAAGGGGAATGCTGTTAAGCAAGTGGGCCACCAATTGAAAGGGGATGCTTTTAAGCAAGTGGGCCACCAATTGAAAGGGGAATGCTTTTGAGCAAAGCAAGTGATAGTTTATTTTCTGGGAGGGGGGGCTGGGGGCTTGCCACTATTGTGGTCCCCTAAACAATCACATTATTGTGGTTCAGTGGGGTCTGTGAGGGGTACCCTTGTCCTGTTTTTTTTTTTTTGCATTTTTTTAGCACGGTTTAATAAAGAGTTTGCAGTTTCAGGGCTGGGGATGGTTTTCAAATTTCAGAGTTTCAGCTGGCTGGATTTTGGGGTCAACATGGATTTTGGGTGTATTTTTTTTTAACAAATTTGCTTTGTGGATTTTTTTTGGAATTTTCCCCCTGGCCAAAAAAACTTTCTATGTTTCTGGTCCCCTTAAACAATGGGTGTGAACCATAATAAGGAAAAAACACTTTCTATTATTCCGGTACCCTTTACTAATCGAGTGCTTACATTACATTCCATACAAGCATGCAAAAATCATATGCATGCATGACATACATGACATGCGTGACACACGTGACACACACCTTTCACAAGTCTGTGCAGTACGCGTGCATATGCTAATGACACACATTGCATACGTTACATGCTCTACATACATGACATAACTTGCATATATTGCATTCATTGCATACGCAGAGTATATTTCAGCACGCCGCAACACATACGTTATGTTGCATTGGCCAACGCTACTCCACGGTGTCACGCTGCAATACAATGGGCAATGGGTACACACAATCACAGAAAGCATCTACACACAATGCACGTTTCTGCACATCTTGAACACAAAGGTGTATATCTATATGCTTGTGCCTGGCCGGAAGAGCCGAGTTGAAGAAAGGTCCCTCCCAGCCCAACCCCGCCGGCCCGCTCTTCAGCCAGGGCACCACCCCTTGCTTTCGGTTCGCCGGGTTTGTCCAGGCTGGCCTTGGCCCCAGCACTGCCGTTCATGGCACGCACCAAAAACGCGATGAATGGCCGTCACCAGCTTTCCATGTAACGCCCTGATCTCGTCGTATCTTAGGCATTTCAACGCCACTTGTTTCTGAGACGTTTTAGATCAGCACAAGGCATGGCTGCAAAGTTTGCAAAGTTCAGCCTGTTTTGCCGCAGGTTCTGGCTAGACAAGGTCGATAGTGGGCAGCTGGCCGAGGCATCTATGACCACAAATGCAGCGCGTCGTCTTTTTGGGGGTGGGGAGGATTGCCCATGGCAGTGAGCGACTGCTCATCACTTAGAAGTTGGCCAGAAAGAACTGATGGGGAACTCCCGAAAATATACAGGCTCCCTGTTGAGACCTTCCCAAAGTTGCAGCTTTGTTCGCACCTGTGGCAGCTCTCCACGCTGCCTTTGTGGGAAATCTGCCTCGCACCCTCACCGTCAGCTCTAGCTCACGCACTGGCAGCCGCAGGCATCACTTGGACTTGGAAGCGACGCCATGTGCCACATGGCCCGGCCCAGCCTTGCTTAGTCTGCGATAAGCTCGAAAAGGGCGGCCTCTGCATCTGGTGCCTGACCAACATAAACACGTCCCTGGTGCCGCTGACGAACTAAGTAGAAGCCCGCCGGCATGCTGCCAAGGTCCTGAACCATTCAACCCTCATGGGCACTCCTGCAAACCCCTTTGAAGAATGGAACGCCCGGCGGTGGACAACACATCTGGTCCCTTCTACCCACTTCGGGAAGCAAACAACTGCAGATGTTGCACGGCTGGACGAGTGCGGAACCACACTAAACTACAAACTGGCGCAACCAAACCCAGTCCAACCCAGCCAACCAGCAGAAGCAAGCAAGCAAGCGAGCAAGCGAGCAAGCAAGCAAGCAAGCAAGCAAGCAAGTAAGCAAACCAACGCCGGCATCCAACCTACACTCTCACCCCGTCCGCACAAAGTGCAGACAATCCAGCGCCGAGCATCTGCAAACATCACAGGTGAAATGGGAATGCCCTCACCAACCATGTCCAACATTTCTACGTTTGGAACCAGGGTCGTTTGACCATATTCGGTATTGAGCAAAAGCAAGAACTGAAACTGGGCGTAAAACAGGCACACGGAAACAAATTAACAATTAATCACTTCCCTTGTGGTTTGATGGCATTGAACACACAGGGGGTAATGGCATTGAGCTTGGCACCCAGGCAAGCACCTCGCTGTCAACACGCTAGTCACTAGCACCCATGTCCTTGCCCATGAATGGCGCCTGCTGTGGTGCAGTTGGCCAAGCACTAAGCAGCTTGCCTCAATCGATGCCACGATGCAGCAATCAAAATCAAACATCCTCTCTCTTGAATGCAGGAAAAAGGAACATGATTGATATTCAGTTTCAACTGTCTCTCTGCAAGGGGGACCAGAGTTTCGGCCTCAGCTCCCAACCCCATGACCGCAAATCCAGGTCCCTGTATTCGCTCAAATGATCCGAGAAGCCTTCAATTAGGATACGGCTCGCAGTTTCAGAGCATAGATTCGCGTCTTTCAAAGCCTTGATGAGCATCTTGCCAAGGCAGCCAACAACGGCTCCAGTATGCTTATGAACAAGGATCCCTTTGGCTTCAAAAAGCCAGATCCCGCGCGACCAATCCAAGCCGTAAGGGCCAGCTAATGGGTGCGGCCAGTTGACTGGGGCGCGGATGCTTTTGACTGACAAAACAGCCTTCAGACCCAAGTGGCAGGTCCCTGGCGGGCAGGAGCTGTCCTGAAGCAGCTTGTAGGGGCATGCCTCCTGGCAAGGCTGCTTTTTGCACAAATGGCACCCGCTTGTGTGCCTGACTGTTGTCCGAGTCCCAACTAGCTGTTCCAAATAGAGCTCATGTCAAGCATGGCACTCACACTTCTTGGACTACAAGCCTCGATTTTGGGGATGTGCAAATCTGCAGCGGTGATCCCGATTTGTCTAGTTTCGATGACGATGGGGCACAGTTTATCGTTTGACCTTTCCATTTTGACGAGGGTTGCCTTATCATTTCGGTGTCTTTTTGGTTGGGAGTTCGCCTGAGGGGTGCACATACCACAAAAGCAAATTGTACACAAGACGCAAGGTCATTGTATTGTTGCTGCCACAAACCGGTTCATCCATGATTGCCACCAAACTGGAATGTTTTTCTGCCAAATAGATTCTCTTTGTGCTTCCTGTATTTCAAGTTCAGCCAAACAAAGGGGACCCTATGGACTTGCTCCCACCAACCGTGACATATTGTGCTTGGACACTTTTACTTGCTGCGGAAGGGGGCCGTTTGAATGCTCCTTCCTAATGCGCCTGGCCTTTTGGCTTGCTGAATCCAGTCTCGAGTTCAGGGCATTTCTTTCAACTTGAATGGGGATTAATGTCCACCAGATTGTGATTGTGCCCGCCCTCAGCCTGGCCATTGCTGCTTTTGTACAACACGGAACTGCCCCTTCCGCCCAATCTCCCATGTCTGACTCTCTGAGCGTCGGCTCCTGGGACTTGAAGGCCTTCAGCCAGCCGCCCAGGCGCAGGTGATTCACCGGGGTGCAGGCGAGCCAGTGGCCTTCGAACTGGCCATTGCACACCTCCGGCACGGCCCCAGTTCACTGCTTGGAAGTCAACGGTTGAAACCCTGCCACCTGGATGTGGATGGGGCCTTCTGGAAGACTGCGTTTTTTTTTGGGAAGGGCTTGTGCACTTCCTGGTGCAAGGTTGCCAATCAAAGATCGTTCCATTGCAAGGCTTCCAGGCGTCCCACATCAACCTGGACACTTGCTTGCTGGCATCGAGCTGTGGCGTTCTCCTTGCTGCGGTGCCATCGGGTTGTTTTGGGGTTCCTTATGGTGTGCGTCGGATTTTCCTTCAACGATGGGCTGATGCACACGGCTTGAGGAAATTGGTAAGAACAAACATGGTTCCAAGCTGACTACCGTTTTCCTTTGGCATGGGGGGCACCGAATACACTCGCGCAAGCACTGTCAGGGGGGCAAGGAGGTTGCGTTGCCTTCACATGTCAATGGCCTGTTTCCCGCAGTATCCCGGAGTTATTCTTCCTGTTCTCTTTGCTCTTGCCAACCTGGAACGCAAAGGTTCATCAAAAAGGAACTTGGGACCCTTCTCAGGTTTCATGTTGGCTGGTTGTGTCTCGGGCACTTCTTTCCATCTAGCTGTGGGTCAAAAATAGGGACCCAAAATGGAACCCTGGTAAATGGATGGACTAAAACCTGCGGTCCCTTGGTGGCTTCATTTTGACCCGCTTCTTTCTGTCTCCTTCCTGGCCTGGAAACTGTAGGTATCCGCCACCCGGGTGCCTTTCGCCTCCAGCGGCTGCAGCCGCAGCCTCAGCGCAGCCTTGTCTGAGCCCACCGTGGCCCATCCGGACCCGTCCAGCGTCAGGAACCTATCGCTTCCGTACCACTTCAGCCGCACCTCCCGGGAAAAACGGGGGGGGGGGGGGTTGGGGAGGGGACTGGCCGAGAAAACTGCCGAGGCGTCAAAAGTCCGGAGCTTTGGCATTGGCGTGATGCCCTCAAGTAAAAATCATCCTTCCAACCGACCACTGCTCTGCTCAACCACTTGGAATCCATCATTCAGGCAAAAGGTGGAGCACTATGTGCGTTGGACCATTCTCCTCTATACTGCGACTGCTTGACAAAAGTGGAGAAACATGTTCTGACACGTGCGCATTGTTCATTGGGATGACCCTGCGAAATGATCTTTTTCCTGGGGCTCAAAGTTTCGCCCAAAGTAGTCTCAATAACATAGTCTAGCAGGTACCGGGGCCCCAGGAAAAATTGGTTGAGGTTGGGGCTATGAACAAAAGATGTTCAACACGCGAAAAGCGCCTGTTGGGCAAAGTAAAGAGTCTACACCAATGCGGCCTCAGCTTTGCCCCCAGTTGATTCGTTTCCATATTTTGCGAACCTTAAGATCAAAACCATTCTGAGAGTGATCACAAAAAACAATAGCAATCAAAAGCAATTCTATACAATACTTCGCCAGTGCAAAGCCAAAACAAACAGTAGGTTTCCGGATAGGAATGTGACATCTGCTGTTCGAATACCTTGCGCGGAAAACGCCGTTTGGCACGACATTTTTGGTCCGGCCGAAGCAGGCCCAATTCTGACCCCAGCGTGTTTTCGGAAGCCTTGAAACACACCGATCCAAACATGCAGAGCAACCGACGCCGCCCACCCAGCATCCCAAGCATCTCCCTAAGTTGGGAAGAAGCCATATGTCGAAGTGCAGCCCAAGCTCTTGGAGATGAATTTAGAGCCGCCACCCAAATCTGGCTAATTCCAAGTATCACCCCCTCAACACAAAATCTGATCCAAACCATCAGCATCCATCATCATATCCTTCCGGCCTCCAGCTTTTCGAGCTCAACCTCTGGACCTGCGCGAGCTATGTGCCGATGTTCCGCGACTCAGCCAGCGCCAAGAATAGGGAACGCTGCGAGAGCATTTTCGCCCTTGCAAACACACGGCTCCACAAGGCATGAATTGTTGCAACAAGGAAAGAAGCTGCACCATCTTGTAATCAAGTGTCTGGCCTTGGCTGCTCTATCAGCAGGATGGGTTTTCAAGAAAGAGATGGAACTAGGATCTGTCGTTTGAGCATTCTGTTTTGCAGAATAAGGGGACCAAACCGCTCCAGAAGAAGGCTAACCACGCCGAACAGTTGCTTTAGGAACAAACGCCCCGACCGGAATCCATCGAGTTGACTCACGCAGCCAGGCCTAACAGCACCGACTTGGAAGCGCAGGGGTCGGCATCTGGACTGGGGTTGCCGTTCCAATGTGCAGCCTCTGGGTACCTCATGAGGCCGACGCAGATAACCACGACCACAGAATGGCAAAGGGGCTGGGACTGCAACAACTTGATGACTCCAAGCGCTACAATTCGTGCAACTCCTATCACGATCCTCCCCCATCGCCCCGGCCCCCTGCGCCCTGGCACAAGCGCTGGAAGGCCCAGCGAAACTCCTTCAGCCCCATGGCGTAGAAGGCTTGTTCCTGCCGATGCCCATCCTACAAGGCAAAGACCTATGTGAGTCACAACCAACCCCTAAGCGGTCCACAACAAACGTCGCCATGACCTAGACCCACGATGGCGGCGGGGAAAAGCCACTTGAGACTTGTTCAGCTTGCTTTGGAAGCCACACCCACTCCTTTCAGCAAAAAGTGTGGACAGGAGCATGCACCGGTGGAGGTTTGGAATGAAGGAAACCGCAACCTCTTATTTAGGACACCGCAAGGTTGCGAGCTGCGCCAGAGAAGCATTGAACTTTCTTCTGAAGCCCTTCCCCCTCCCGAAGCCCATGTGCCTCAACAAACACATGCAGGGCACAGTCTGCAACACACAGTAGAGCTAATGTCAACTCCGGATCCTTCCGCACCCAATTCGCTGGGCCAACCGCCAGGGCCCAACAGCACCCCATTTAATTCCTCCCGCTTGCCACCCTTCGTTCAGGCCATGCAAAATCCTCGCAAAGTTAGCTTGGTCAGCCCTGCCGAACCCAACCATCAGCCAGCGGACAAAATTGAAAACTAATTAAAAAGGTCCTTGCTGTGAGTACCATGCTTTGCTCTCCCATTGATGCCATGAATCTCATCATTGGCTCAATCACGGAACTTTCCCTCTATGCATGCTGAAGCTGGTTTTCCGCAAATGTTGCTGCTGCCTGCTTGGCAGACAAATGCGCATCAACAAAAGTGTCGAAACATCAAATGCTTTCAGTACTTGATTATTTGTACAAAGTAGTAGTGGTTTGAAAAGGTCGCTGCATACCCATGCTGACGTCGGATTGACGGTTTAAAGGTAGTACTGCAATCCACTTCAAAAGCCGGTTTGCCCATTTCCAATGCAGCATTGCCAAAAACATCTATGTTCATTGCACTCAAATGTACCATTGTCAATTTCTATTCAGTAGTGCTGCTTAATTCTAAAGTAGCATTGCCCAAAACACATCCATTCCTTCCAGACTAACTTAGCGAACAGTTTGATTGTCCCCCTTTTCCCGAACTTGACTTTGGCAGTGCCAGTACGTCTTGCCTTTTCTTGGCTACCCTTTCTGGTTTTTGTTTAAAGGGGGGACCAACAGGACACCTCCCACACTACCCAAAACTAGTCTTGCCCCATTCAGCAATAGCGTTGTCAAATGCAAAAAGTTGAGCTACCCAGCCCAAATACCACCAGCAGCACAAGCTTGTTGTATCCCATTTGCTGGCTGATTGCTCACTATGGGCCACTGGCTTCCTTTCAAGCCCAGAAGAAATCTACCGTATTCCGAAGGCCAAAAGTGGATACAAGTGGCTGGAGCGATGAGTAGGCCAATAACGCCCACCACAGCATACATGGCCTCACGCTGGTAGCCGCGCGTTCACAAGCCTTGCAATTTTCTTGCAACCATGATGGGCAGCTATCCAAGCTTGACTGAGCTTTGTCCATTTGGATGTCCACCTCGCATTCAGCCTTTGAGGGGCCAAACCGCTTCAGACTACGCTAGACGATCTCCTTCGCATTTCTGCCGGGCCGAAGCAAACCTGCGCGGGTTGAGTAAGGAGCCTGCAAGAGTCCCATCAACGCTTTTTGGGCCAGGCTCGGAACCACATGCTCTGCCTGCATGCCTTGGCTGCATGCCGAGATGCAAAAAGCCGAAACAGCCAAGTAGGAAGGTCCACGGAATGTATCCAGCAGCTCTGCAGAACCACAGGCGATGCCACAATAATCTGAGCGTGAGGCACATTGCGGAAAATTGAGAGGGGATGCTGATTCAGAGCTGCAATACTTCAGCCATGGATTATGCATGGGACAGGCATCGCGCCCTCCTGAATCTACCACTCACAATTTCCGCAGCGCAACAAGCAGGCGTTGCTTGAGAGAACGGCTCCTTTAGAATCAGACAAACACTCCATGCTTGCAAGCTAGAGTGGAAATCAAACAGCAGCATGTTGGCCCGCAATCATGGAGCTAACTTTTCCGCGATACATCTTCGACAATAAGCGCACAAACACCATGCAAGTCTAAAGCGTAGGCTTGAGCATGTTGATGTTCTCCTTGCCCAGTAGATTTCCATGGGCAAACATGCCATTTTTCCTTCAGCTGCTCATCTTTGTCAGCGTGGAAAACTGGCGGAGACAAGCATAACTGGCCAAAGGTTGCTTGAGCTTCTACTTCCGCCCCCCAAACAGACTGATATTTCGAGCCTGGCCCAAAGTTAGTCATCATTAAGCTGTAAAATCGCGTGAAGCGAGGCTCCAGGGCCTGGACCAACTTATCTTCTTTCCAGCCCCAAAGCTGCTTGCCAGGCAACGAGCCTCACCAGGTTCAGAGCTCGGCCCATGGTCTCGTTCATGGTAATGGCCACTTGGGCGGCCTGGAACTTGGCCAATGGATTTGAATCTCCGCTGGAGAAGGGGGCAAAGACAAAAATAAGCGCCAAACAGTTTGGCCCCACAGATGGGCCAAACACGTGGGAACCCAAACAGTTCAAAGCAACTGCGGATCCGCAAATCATTTCGCAACGGCCATAAACTCAGAGACATGCTGCTTTTGGAGAATTGTGTGCCATGCTGTGACTGTGGTTTGGTGAGCATGCTGGGCTTGTGCCAACTTCGCCGTGCGCTCGTTCCGCGACAGCACGTCTTGGAAAACTGGCCCCTTGCACAGCCGAGTAGGGCCAAACTTTAGTTACATCGGGCAGAACCACAGCCAGACCTGCACTGACGGGGCGGCCTTCGCCTCATCTTCGGGCGAGCCAAGGTTGATGCCAACCCTCACCATCGCAGCATCCATCATTTCGCTGGCGCTGGACAATTGAAATCGCGATGGATTATAAATTGCGCACGCGGCGGGCCAAGATTCCGGTCTGCAGTGTGCTATTGATGAGAAGGTAGCAAAGAAGTGAACAGGAAGGTCAGCAGACCATTGGTTGACATTTGCCGCCTCCCAACTAACTAGTGAGCTCCAGAGGTGTGGGTTACTTTCTTGAGGCATATCGATCAAGACTTGCAAGTGATTTGAGCCGAAGTGCCGCGGCCCGAAGGATGCAACATAGCAGCTATGATCCACCCTATGCCCCATGAGCCAACGCAATGCCGCGGCTAATCATTGCTTGTTGGCAAAAGGCCCCCATCTTGACAAAGCAAAAAGCTCTCGAACCTGTTTGAAGTCTGAGAAACATGTGGGTATGGGTCAAAATTCAACCACCAGGGGACCGCAGGTTTTAGTCCTTGGTTCCATTTGCCGGGGCAACCCATTTTGGGGCTAACCTATTTTTCACCCACCGCCATGTATTGCCTGTCCTGAGGCCAGGTCCGAATGTTCATGTCCAGCTCGCTCTCAGCTCTCGGCTTCGATGGCCTGCGTCCGTAAGGATTAGCTCGCTTGCTGGGGGTGGGGTCGCTTGGGGGTGTCTGGGGTGGCCATCAGCCAGTTGCCCTTGCCTGCACACAAGCGGTTACGCAATCTTGAAATGAAGGAGCTTGGCCGAAAAAAGCAACAGGAACGATTGCCGCATACACAATGCAGCCAGTTTAGCTGAGATAGCGCGCAACTCCTGCTGGATGCAGGTATTGCTGTTTCTCGTCAAGGTGATAGATAAGTTCGCCCTCAAGGATCGCGAGTCGCTTGTTCAAGCCAACGGCTCCTCTCGCTTGGAATGCGGCAGAATCTTCCGCCAATCGCCAGGAATGTTCCCTCAAAGAATGCCCAGGGAAACATACTGACAAACAACAACATGTTCAAATCTTCACCCAAGGATTTGCATGCATCCTATCTTTCGAGGAAGCAACCTCACCATCAGATTCAACGTCGTGATTAATGCATAAGGCAGTGTGCAACGAGAAAAGTCTGCATGTGCAGTGGCGCCAAAAGCATGTCTGCAACACCACCTCCACTTGGTTGCGTCTCATTTTGTGGCCACGCTTCTGGGGCAGCCTGAAAAGAACCCCGCCCCATTTTGCTTGCACTTGTGCCATGGGGCATGAAGCTTCCCGTCAGCGTCACCCCGAAGTCTAGTTCAAACTGCGCGCTCAGCTGGTCCAGCATCAACGCCTTGAGTTTTGAGGCTCACTCTTCAAAGAAGCCCACGCAGAGTTGCATTGCACTGCGCCGCATTGTTGCTCGCTTCGTTGCACGACATGACCCGCCCGAATGCAAACACACGGAAGAAAAACATGCAAACACACACAAGTGGTTCTCTGCGTGGCTGGTTGAACGTCTTGGGCATTTTGGCAGCCAGGGGCCACAGGCCCCTCCCTCTTGGTGTCTGTGAGGGACCGCCACAACACCTCCAAATGACCATAGCCCAAGACATGATTGGTGTTCAGCCCCTGGAACAACATGTGCAATTCTACTGCTTGCCTTGTGAACACCGATTGACCCAGTTTCTTCGTGCCAGGCACCCTGGAAAGATTCTTAAGATCAGGCGGTGTTCGATGCTGTTCGCCTTTAGCAACTCTAGGGTTTGTGTCAACCTGGTGATTGAAGATCGGATTGCTTGCAAACATTGGGAACGCATGCTTCAGGCAGCACGCCTTGAGGCTTCATGCCAGTAGGAAATAATAAATATTCACTCATGCAGTTCCCAGTGAAAGGAGTGCTTTCAAAGCTCACACTTTCGACTTTGCGGCTTGCAGCACTGCCACTTGCAGGTCTGAGCGGCCCAGTTGATGACTGCATGGGGGCTCTTGACATCTGCATCTTTTGCCAGTATCCGCTCCTCAGCAGCTCTCGGTGAAAAAGGCTCAGAAAGGCCCTGATTTTTTTGCAAAGCTGGTGACGAGTCAATCGGTTCTCCTGTCAATTGCTGAACAACCATCTTGCTCGCCAGGCTTTCCGGACTTATGCTCGCGGGTCAAACGCAAACTGGAATACACGTTGAACAAGTAGATAGTAGAACACTATCGCATCCAAGACATATACGCCTGCGGCATGGTACAGTAAACATGTTGTGGTCCTCTGTGTGTTTGCTCGATGTAAGCTCTAGCCATGCGACAAACCAGGATTCACGCCACCAATGATGACATCCACAAGATGGAACTCTTCTGGCTTTTGCCAGGGCTATGCCCTCTAAGCAAATCAAACAAAATGGCCCACCAGGTACAACAAATGATGAAGGAGAACAGTACACATCAGCTGTGTCGCGCAACATGCCGGCCGTGTTGGCCACCGAAGCTGCCCCGGTGCAAGCGACATGCGACGCGTGTCCTGAATGAGCAACTGATCGTCGCTATGCTGGTGTGCCACAAAACCTTGGCTCAGGAAAAAAACAAAAAACACAGTGGAACTGCACATCCTGCAGCTGCGACCCGCTGCAAATGCCTTGTTCCTGGAACTCTTCCATTCGCTGCGTAATCATCTCACGAGTATGGTAGCCAATGCGACCAAACTGCCTTCTTCCAAACCTGAGCTGACTGCTGGCCCCCAGCATGAAAACGCAAGAGGACCGCCCGTGGTGCATTTGCCCCTGAATTTGGCAACTGAATCCCTCCGCAAAAAAACAAAAACAAACACAGCATGACCATATCTTTACGATCATTCTCAATTATGGTCGGATATAAAAGGAACAGAATCCTTACACACCTTCTTTGTGAGGCCGTGCTTCAGGATGCCTGAGCAAGTCCCACCAGCTTAGGCCAGCGCTGTCAAAGTCGTTCATACCTTTGCGCGGACGCACTGCTGCAGGGCCAAAGCCAAGACTTGCAACACTCCCGGAAAAGAGCAACTTGTCAGGCCCGTTTGCCCGTTTCACTGCTTTCCTTGAAGGAGGTCGCGGATCCAAGAAAAGCGAACCCCTCACTGCATATCTGGTGAAACTTTTCTTGGCCGCGCGTTCTTGAGCCTGGAATGCTCACTTTGCCTGATACTCCTCCTGCTATCAAGCCCTTGCTGTTTAGAGCCTTCAAAACGGACCTTTGGAGAGCGGCCTTACAAAAAGCCAGGGATGAGAACCAGCGAAGCCCAGGCTGAAGTCATGTCCATTTCAGACTCAGTTGGACGACAGGAGTTACGCATTCGAAGTTAGCATTGCGCTCGCCGTAGCTCATTTGACACCACTCACCCCTGAGTGCCTTCTGCTAGGAATTTCAAAAGCCAAAAAATGACTATTTAAAGTTTCGATTTACAACTTCCCCCGGCCAAAGGCAAACACCATGATTTGGACACCCTGCTGCTCCTGACAAATCCAGCTCTGGCAATCATGAGACCGGAATTGTCACTCGATCTCATGTCTGCCATCCTTACAGAACAAAAGAGCCCGTTTCCCTTCCAAAAAGTGTAGGACAGCAATTGGTTTCAGAATTTGGTGGCTCAAAGTGACGCTGCCAAAGTTGCTTGTGAGCACCATAGTGGCTCGTTCCAGCGCGTACTCATCTGGCATAACCTCACGTTCGCATGGTGCGGTGTTAAAAGGCAAGGAGCCCATGCTGAGTTCTGGGAAGGAGGTGCAGCAACAATCCATAACAGTTGTCTGGCATATTGCCCATCTTTGAACCTTTATGAAAAGGGCCCGGCCGGGACCCAGCACTTTTCACACCGGCCCACTGCTATCAAGGCATGGCCGCCTACCTGCAGCGCCGGCCTCGCGCATGGCTTCTGCTAGAGGCGTGTCTTCCTTGGGAAGTGGATCCTGCAAAATTGCTGGCCACTCGATGATCCAGGCAGTCTCAGATCACATTTTGTTCACCTCCTTGCGAAAATAAGTATGACTGGGCATATTGAGGCATCATGCTTCTATGATGGTTTGCGCTATAGCCAAGTCACTACTTACAAGGGAAACAGGATGCAAATGTATACAACCACGATACAGAGACACTGAGTAAACATCTCACTTTCCCCGAAGGTAGTGGTTTGGGGGGTGCACATGCCTGTCCTCCAGAGTAGGCCTTAACTCCTCTATGGGCATCTGGTCTCGCTCGATGACAGGCTGGCTTCGACTACAAACCTGACGAAGCCCCAATCGCAAGCGTCAACTTTCCGACTCTCTCTGAATGTGCACTTCTAAAAACAAAGCCACCGAATGGTTGGCTTCCTTTGGCTCCCCTGAGTTCAATCCAAAACGGGGTCTCCAACTTTGAGACTATCCATTTACTAGCCGTTTTCCGCTCATCTCCTGGCCTGCGTCACTGAGAAGACTACAATTCTGTTCCAGGATCTATCGATGGCAAGCACTTTGCCAGAAAGCTTTCTGGGGTTGGGCAGTGGCCCTTGCCCAGTGGCTCGCATGGCTGGCAACAAACACACAGGCAACGCTGGACATTCAAGCATGCGCGAGAAACAAACACCGACGTCTGCAATTTTGGGTGAGAAAGCAACTTATCTGAAACTAAGCTGACAGCAACCATAAGCCAGGAGGCTTGACCACAGGGACCTGCCTGAGTAGTGCTCCAGCTTTCAGGCTCCTCAGCAGCACTGAGGGCCCCAGAAGAGTCTCGGTAAAATACTCGTTGGCAAAAAACACATCACTGAGGTGGAGGCATTGCACTGCAATGTCTTAGAACACGCATGTATTTGGTTGGACGTGAAACACCGGTTGCACCCACGCCCGTCTCAGTAACCTCAACTCCTCCCAAGCATCAAACCTTGCCGAGAACACTGCCACCCGTGGTAGCCCATCACCAGTACAAGCGAGCAAACAGCCCTGATAACGCGAGTCATGCCAAATCAGGATCCAAGGCAAACAAACATCAACCCATGAGCGTTGCACTCGGCTCGGAAAATGCCCTGTGTCGCGACGTCGCAAACCAGAGGTCCACGCCTTTTCGACTTGTCGTAGCTCAGCATATTGAGTCAATAGCCTGAGACATATTCGAAGCTCTTGGCCACCCCAAAATGGCCGAAGGAAAGTTCCCTGAAAAACACTTCCCTTTGAAAGGGACCTTCTCTCAGAGTCTCATGTTGCTAGGTCTAAAAGCTAAGGATACCCCCCCCTCATGACCTGCTGAGCTTCGCGCCGCATTCGAAGCCCATCCAGCTCAGACTCGACAAAGGCCTTGCGCGAGTGGTCAATC